ACCAGTACCAGTGAGCTTGCGACGGCGTTGCAGAACGCACTAATGAACAAGTGGATAGAAACGGATAAACTGAAGCCGGAAAATGTTTTCAGTAAATTGAGACTTGACCGCGGTGTGGATGCCTTATTAGACAGGAATGAACAAACTCTGGCAGCGTTTATCTCGATGTACAACGCAAGGAATCCAGACAGCAGGGCATCATCGATTGGGATGTTTGTGGCGCAGTATGGAGATAATGCTGTGGCCGAGACCCTCGTCTTAGCAAGGTCTGAAAGTGCTTTGGAGCCCCTGGCAAGAAATCTGCAGCAGCAGCAGTTCCACGAATGGCAGAAGAGCAAGAAATCTGCTGACGATGTTTTCAAGCTCATGAATATTGAAGAGAAGGATTTCTCCCATATTATTAGCCCGAAGTTGGAGATAGTGAAGGGGTACATCATGTTGCTCAAGGCTACGAATCCCGAAGACACGACTGACTTACTCTCTGTGGTTAGTAATGGTTTCAAAGGCGACGGTGCTCTTGCGCAAGCAATCGTTAAGAAACTGGCGATGTTACACTCACGTAATCCTGTCGCCGCTGTCGCCTCCACTGCTGCTGAGTTCGAAATGTTGTTGTTTAGGCGGTGGTTCAAGAGCAAGATCGATCCGGTTAGCTTTTACAGGCAAGTCTTTGGTGTAGAGGAGGCTAATGCCGGTCGTTGGCAGAAGGCGGTTGTACGCCGGTACACGGAATATTACAGCGATAAAAACGCTGGTACTCGTGTTAGCCATACGGTCAACATTATTCCTAGGCGCTCTTAGATCCCTAATGGTGAATCTGCACGTAATCCGGTGTGCTCTATTCCCAGCGAAGAAGTTAACGCTGTCAGCCTTAAAATACAACCGATTTCGTGCAAATAACCTGTAGGAGGCCATAATTTGTTGACTTGTATGCTCGAAGTTCTGTGCCTGCATGCCCGATCCAATCCTTGGTAATTTCATTCCTTTTGATGTAGCTCGCCATACTTTAATTACGAGCTGCGGCTGATGCAACTAATATCAGAATATATATTATTTCATTGATTCAGTATCTATATCAATATCAGTATCAATGGTACCACTTACACTAGTGAATCAAGGCCAACGATACATGAAGAAGTACCTTTGATATGAACCCCTGCCCCTGCCACATTGCCCTGAATGCCTGCCTCCAAGACCAAGGAATTAAGCGACGAAGACCGCACGCGCGTTGTTAGGAACAGCAGCAATTAGGAACAGCAGCAAACGCGAACCGTTGACGAGCTCATTGCAGTTGTTGAAGCTTACCACCGTCCACTATAAATGCCACCTTCCTAAGGTTGCAAACGACGATGGATAGATGCATAGAGGAGAAAGGTGGAAACGACTTTAAAGCCGTTCACTTGGGGAAAACTCACCTGGAGAAGGAGGGAAGACTTCCCTTAAGCGTCCGATGTTCAAGTAGAGTAGCTGAGGTCCTGTCTCTATCGTAGGGATTTGCTATCATAGTAAAATCAAGTATAAAATGGTGTAAAGCCGATCCGTGTAACTTAGTAGTTTGGTATTGTTGAGTTTAGTTCTACCCCTCGCTTGATTACACCAAGAATGAATCTTTTAATTGGTAAGAATTGCGCCGGTAAGCAGCAAGAGTCTCTCATTCCAAGCATTTCGCAACTTGCTATAGTACCCTCAAAGTGCTCGAACTCCTGCGTTACCCCTACAATGCGCCACTACTTACGCGTATTATTGACTATTTCTCTTTTAGTATGCTTTGGCAGTACCTGGATAATTACCGCCTCTAAGATAACGACGACCGACTTGTCAGACGACATTCGTTTGTTCGCTACTAGTCAAATTGGCAGGCCCTCTTATCGACTATTGAGAACCTACGACGAAGAAAGAGGCCACCTTGGTGGTCTGATCCATACCGGGACGTCGAAAGTCGATGACCTTCTCGCGTCCGCAAAGCTGAAGGAATATGAGGCGCTGGTGAACAAGTTACAGCTCGGTGATGACATCGTCACCTCTCTAAGAAGCTCGCAACTGGAGAACTTGAAGCAGTTTGTTGCCAGTTTCAATCATGGCAAAGAGCTTAAGCACCAAATCTCGTTGATTGCACCACTTTCAGCTAAGTACGGAGATGACATAGTGGCAAAGACACTCGTGGACTTGGAGCGAAAGGCCGATACAGTCCCAGAGTTGGCGAACTTGGTGAAGCAATTGCGGAGCGAACAGCTGATGGAGTGGCTGAAGAAAGACAAAAATGTCGACGAAGTTTTCAACCTACTAAAGCTGAAGGAAGACGGCTACCGAGTCCTTCGCAGTCGAAAGATCGAGGTGTTGGAAGACTACATTACGCTATTCAACCGCGAGAAATCAGTAGATGAAACTCTGCTGAAGGTCTTGACAACAGGCGTCGGTGACGAAAGTCAAATTGCTCCGATTCTAGAGAAAGCAAGGACAAATTCGCGTTTGGTGGAGAAGGCCAACGAATTGGAGACTGCTCTACTGACTAAGTGGAGAGGCGAGAATTTGTCTCCGATGACCGTCTGGTCGCGCCTAAAGTTCTCTGACAACGTGGACAATGCTCTGAGCAGCGGAAAGCTGGGGATGTTTTCCAAGTATATCGCTAAGTATTATCCGAACAATGTGAAGTCTGTGCTAGAGAGATTCACAGTGAAATACGGAGAAGACGCAGTTGCAAAGGCACTAGTAACAGCCACGAACAAAGGGACGATGAAGGATTTCGCGTCGAAGTTGCAGACACAGCAGCTAGAAGGCTGGTTGGCGAGACAAAAATCCGCTGGTGATGTCTTCAACCTATTGAAAATCAAAGAGGATGGT